ACTACACTACTAACACTTAAAAATGGATGGCCGGGTGCATTGGCTCATGCCTGTAATCCCAGCACTTTGGGAGGCTGAAGCAGGCAGATCACAAGGTCAGGAGTTCAAGACCAGCCTGGCCATTATGGTGAAACCCTGTCTTTACCAAAAATACAAAAATTAGCAGAGCATGGTGGCAGGTGCCTGTAGACCCAGCTACTCTGGAGGCTGAGGCAGGAGAATTGTTTGAACCCAGGAGGCAGAGGTACGGTGAGCTAAGATTGCACCACTGCACTCTAGCCTGAGCAAGAGAGTGAGCCTCCGTCTCAAAAAAAAAAAAAAAAAAGTTAACGTGGTAAATTTTATGTTATGTGTTTTTACCACAATAAAACTGAATAGTATTGTTTTTCTGATACTCATCATTACTAAGCATTCAGTGAAATTAAAAATTTTACCTACATTACGAACTACACATAGGCCCTAACATGGGAATTTTTTACTTTTTGAGATAACATAGGCTTTTGCTTTTCTTTAAATTCCTCCACCCTTTGCCCCTTTTAAAGATGAGAACAAAAATGACATGGTGAGTACGTGTCTCCAACTGAAAAAGAGTAAATCCAGTTACATAGGAGTGTTAGTTCTATTTGAAAATCAATTCCTTACGACTCTACATGAGATATTTCCTTGGGAGGCACTGGAAGATGAGTTACTAACACATTCTTCTCTTCCTCACGGCATAATCTTGGCTATAACTAAACACTAATAAGCAGCCCAATAGAAAGAAATATAACAGCCTCAGTTTGAAAGACAGAATCATACTCAAATAACTACTATTTTTAATTTCACTGACTGCTCCAATCAATGTACGATCCTGGGAGTAACGTTTCACATTCAGAATTTAAAGTGATTATTAATTAACAATAAGTAGTTTCATGTTTGTTTTTAATAATTTCTAAGCTGTTATTTCAAACAAACAATATCACATTCTTGAAGGTAAATGTCTTACTTTTATCTCTCTAGAGGTTAGTCCAGTGGTTGGCATAAAATGATGCTAAGCAAATGTTTTTTTCAAATAACTGTATAACACTACCTGATTTTTAGTAATGTATAAAACTTTATTGAAACTAAGCACACATTTTCTCTACTTCTGTATAACGAGCTATTGAGCATAACCAGAAACAGTCTCAAAATAAGGTGATCAGTTTCACAATTTTATGCCCACCTCTACAGGTTACCCTTTCCTGCTCCCAAACAGTAACTCACTCCTATCACTTCTAATCACCCTCAACCCCATGGCAACCATGCCAAAGTTTCTTTTCTTTTTTTTTGAGACAGGGTCTGGCTCTGTCACGCTGGAGTACAGTGGCGTGATCTTGGCTCACTGCAACCTCTGCCTCCCAGGTTCAAGTGATTCTTGTGCCTCATCTTCCCAAGTAGCTGGGACTACAGGCGCATGCCATCATACCCAGCTAATTTTTGTATTTTCTGTAGAGACAGGGTTTCGCTAGGTTGCCCAGGTTGGTCTTAAACTCCTGAGCTCAAGCGATCTGCCTGCCTCATCTCCCAAAGTGCTGGAATTACAGGCACACGCCACCATGCCTGGCTGCCGCTTCACCTCAAATCTCTGGTACCTTTCTCTACATTCTTACTTTTGTGGTGCCTTGCTCTATTTTTCTAAGAAGATTGAAACTCAAGATTTTCCTCTTCTCCACTTCAACATTTCTGTTTTCACCCTGCTCTTTTCTGGACTCAATGAATACAAGTATTCCTCTTTTTCACCCAGGTTCTCTGTCACTATTTCTACTCTAGTAGAATCGGTCTCCTCCCCTGGCTCATCTGCAAGAAAATATTCTAGGAAGCACAAACCAACCCAATTTCTATTAGTTCCTTCTCTTCTCAGCCTCCAAAGTACTTAATGTGTATAATACTGAGTATTATATCCCAGCTAATTACATCTGACCTTTTGGATATATGTCATACTACAGTTCTTTAGTTATCTATGTCTTTATGGCCAAAAATGATATTTATAAGCTATTTCAGGGTAAAGATTGTCTTCTGCCTCACCATATGAAAAAGGTCTCTGCTTACCATGTACCATTCAAATATTTGTTGATAATGGAATAATTTTGTTCAAAAAGGAATTTTTCAGCTGGGTACAGTGGCTTATGCCTGAAATCCCAACGTTCTGGGAGGCTGAGGTGGGAGCATCACTTGAGGCCATGAGTTTGAGACCAGCCTGGGTAGCACTGCAAGACCCTGTATCTACAAAAATAAAAAACAAACAAAAAAATTTTTAAATGAACTTTTCTATGACTCCCATCATATTTATCAATGTACTGAACGTACTGACCCTTTCACTTGACTTTATTTAATGTATTTATTTTCCTTATTCTCTTACATAACATCTCTAATTTCTTTTCTTTCAGTTTTGACTTTAGTCACCAAGGCTGGCACTTTCTATTAATAATAAAAATGGTTACCATTCATGAATATCTAATTCCTGCCAGATATTATGCTAGATAATCTACACATATTAACTCTAATCTTCACAATAATCATGCATTTTACAGAGGAGGAAACTGAGACTCAAAGGGATTTAAGTACCTTGTCCCCCAGTCTTCCTCTCTCCAATCAGTCTTTTACCCTTCAGCCAGAGTGATCTTTCTACAACCAAATCTAATCATGTTATTTCCTTCACCTAAAGCTCTTTAAGGCTTCCTACTATCTTAATGTCTAGATTCCTTAACCAGGCATAAGGTAACCTTCAGGATACCTCTTTTCTCACCACTTCTGACATCAAATTCTTTCAGTTCTTGGCCCATGCCATGCTTTCTCCTTTTGCCTCTGGATTTGGCATGGAGTGCCTTTATTCATTCACTCAGCAAACACGTAGCAAGTGCCAACTATGTGCCTGTCATTGTACTTGCAGCTGGGCACATGGTGGTGAATGAAAGAGACATAGGTCCTGCCCTCAAGGTACTTACGATATAACGGAAAAAATAAATAATTACAGGCCAGGCGCAGTGGCTCACGCCTGTAATCCCAGCATTTTGGGAGGACAAGGTGGGTGGATCACAAGGTCAGGAGTTCAAGACCAGACTAGCCAACATGGTGAAACCCCGTCTCTACTAAAAAATACAAAAATTAGCTGGGGATGGTGGCTTGTGCCTGTAATCTCAGCTACTTGGGAAGCTGAGGTAGGAGAATTGCTTGAACTGGGACCGGGAGGCAGAGGTTGCAGGCCTGGGCTATAGGACAAGACTCCATCTCAATAAATAAATAAATAAATAAATACAGATTGTAATAAGTAAAATGGCAGAAGCAGGATGCTGTATTCCAGAACATCTAGGGTTAGAGAGTGCAAGAGAAATCACAGTGCCTGTCTTAGTTTGGTCTGGTAAGGTCTCTGGTGGTGACATACTTTAAAGCCTAAAGTTTAAGAAGCCAGCTATGTGAAAAGCAGGAGGGGAAGTGAATGACATCAGCAAAGCCCAGACCAAGGATTTTTATAGGCCACGGTTAGGAGTCTGGATTTTATTCTAACTTCTAAGGGCAATGTAATTCACTGAACAATTTTACATGAGTCACTTTTTTCTGCTGAATGAAGAAGGGATTAGAGGGGCAAAAAATAGAAAACAGAGACATAAGTCAGGAAGATACAGTAGTAGTTGAGGTGAGAAAATGTGGATGATTTGAAGTTGGGTGTGATAGTGAAGGAGGAAAAAAGTAGACAGATTAGATGCAGAATTGACCTGACTTGCAAAGTCATTACCCGAAATTAAGAAAGAGGCAGAGAGAGGTTATAGAGTTTGGGGATTTGTCACTGGAGAAAGTTAGAAAGTAGGCTCACTAAAGAAACAGAGTATCAGAAGGATCTGAAGCCCATCCTGAGTGAATATTCAAGAGTTTGGCCATTTTCGCTTTATACTATCATCAATTTGTGCAGGACTTTTCCCAGCAAAGTTCAGCCGCATAGGGTCAGGTACAAAGAGGGCAAAAAGTTGAGTTCATCCAGAATAAGAGTTTTGTCAGAAAACAAAGTGCAGGAAGGGACAAGATAATTTTTCAAGGGAGCGACATACGTTGTGGATAAGGGGGTGCAGTGGGTAGAAAACGGAAAGATCAATGCAATGGAGGTACAGATGAAGGTCAAGAACTGTCTCCCAGGTAGAAAGTAGTCCGATAGTAGGAAGCTATAATTTGTTTCTTCTGCTTGGAATGGGCGTCTCCCCCTTCAGCAAACTATTTGATCCCTAAATACATCCATCCTTTTCTGTTCCCTGACTTCCTGAAACCCAGCGCCACTCCCTGAGTTTGTCACCATCTCATCCAATCAGAAAGGCCCACCTCAAAATATTCCCTCCTCGAAGCATTTACGTTCTCCCCACTGAGATCCCTTCTCCCTCCCAGAGTGTACTACTAGTAGAATAATTCACGTGACCACGTAGTAAGTCATTCTTTTTTCTTTCTAGGCTTCTTTGGAAAAGGTATTGTTATATATATTCAAAAGTCTCCGGATCCCGCGGCAATATCCAGAACACAGCCCTGCACGGTGCAATCATTCAATAAATACTAACAGGGATTTCAGCTTCATGGGCCTCCAAACCTCGCCCCTACTTGCTAAGCCAGGCGAAACAGAATAAAAGCGCATAATCCCTGTTCACAAAAGCCTCAGATAACTTCCATTAACCTCAAGGGTTGCCTTCAATTTCACAAATTTAATTTTAATCCCCTCTAACATTCAAAACACCCCCATTTAGCTAATGATGAGCAAACATAAGACAAATAATACCCCTGTGCGTGAAACAGCACTGGTAGGCTACTCGATAACGATAAAAAATCTGGATTCCACAATTGGAGAAATGCCATACTCACTAGAAAATAGAAAATTTCCTTCACTGTTTAATGTAAGGCCGGAGAGACCTGAGATGGGGCTAAGGCAAACGGCCCCAAGAGGGGTGTCACGAGAGTCAGTCGGCACTGGGTTCGAACTCAGGGTCTGACCTCAGCCTGGCACCTACCTTCCTCATCTCCAGCCCCAGCTGCAAGGATCTTAGGAATGGTCGCCTCGGAGCCTGCTGCCATTGCTACCGCAAGGCGGGTTCTGCGGGAACCCAAGGCAGAGCTGAGCTGGAGTGGGGTCAGAGTAGGTGCCAAACTCCGGGACCCAAAGCTGCACCACAGAAAGGAGGCCTGGCGACTCCCGCCCGGCGATTCCCGCCCGGCGACTCCCTCCCGGCAACTCCAGCCCGGCTCCCGCGGAAACGCCGGCGCTCACGCGGAGGTCACGTGACGGACGCTGGGCGGGACCACGCAGCTTTGTTTTGATTCCCCGGGTGTGGAAATACAAACACGTGGTCTGGGTTTTGGCCCTTTTTACCTAACCCGTATCTTAGCCTTCTTTCCTGTAGTCTTAGCTTCGTTTCTGCTTCTCCTTTTCTAGTCAGGTCTTTCCTTTCTGCCTCAGCTTTTCTCCACCCCAGAGGATTGGATTTTAGGGGAAGGTTTGCTGCTTAGTGGGGCTCCGGCGGTGGAATGAGTCTCTGCAGTCAGCTTTCCTGAGCCGCTCTTAGCAGCCTTGAATGCGAGGCTAGTTCACGCTCCTCTTACACCTCTCTTGCCCTTCTGGCGGCAACCTGACTCCTGATTTCCGTGGCTGCCGGGAAATACGAACCTCGGGCAAAGAATCCTGTGATTACGTTCCCTGTGACTCACTTCCCGATCCAGAGAGCTAAATTGCTTGACTTAGGTTTTCAAGGACACTAATCCACAGCTGTGGGGCTTCTGGATTTGTATACCAAAATAAACAGCTGTGTGAAGAGATCAACAACCACCTTTCTTTTCGTTTACGCTGTGGTCAAATCATAATCACTGGAGATGGATCTGGGTCACTTTGGGGCAAAAATCTTCCAGCTTTATGGACATGCCTCTCATTGCTCGCCTACTAAATGACAGACAAAATGGGTAAAAAATTTACATATATATGAATGAAATTGACTAATTTTGAATCTCCTCTTTGGATGTGTAAGACAAAAAAATAAAAATAGGCAGTACTTATTGTACATGACAAATGATTTTTATGAGACAATCCCCTGGGACTCACTACACCTCAACCTTATCCTTTCTCCACCTATAATTTCTGAAGTTACTAACTCAACAAAACTAAGCATAAGCCCAAAATAGAAGCAAGCATTAGGTTAAGTGACCAACCACAGGTCACTGAGCTGTTTATTAGGCACAAGATTTAACTTAGACACTTCCTCGAAATACCAGGAATTCCCCTGTATTCCTGGGGTTTCGAGGAAGTGTCTAAGTTAAAGCCCAACCTCCCCGAATACAGCCTCTCTGGGAGTTTCCCTAACCCCCGCTCAGCTGTGCTTATCCCTGCCTTTTCAGCGCCACGAGTCCTCCGTCTGGGATTCGACTCCTCTCCACTCGCCGGAGTTTCCTCGCCACCCACATTGGGCATGGGCGGACCCCAGCCTCCCCGCCTCCTGCCCCGCCTCCCCGCCCGCCAGGCTCGGGCCGCGCAGGCGCACCAGGCGCGGCCGGGAGGCCGAGGGCGACCACAACAGCCTCCGCCTCCTGCTGCCGCGGCGGGTTCTGCGCTGGGATAGTCGGCTGCGACCGGGGCTGTGCCGGGCAGTGGCTTCGCGGACGACGCGTCGCCATGGGCTCTCGCTGGAGCAGCGAAGAGGAGAGGCAGCCTCTGCTGGGGCCCGGGCTCGGGCCTGGACTAGGGGCGGCCTGGAGAAGCCGGGAGGCAGCGCCTGTGCTGCCGGCGGCGGCCGCGGGTCCTGGGCGGGTGTACGGACGCCGCTGGCTGGTGCTGCTGCTCTTCTCGCTGCTGGCGTTCGTTCAGGGCCTGGTCTGGAACACCTGGGGTCCCATCCAGAACTCGGCGCGCCAGGCCTACGGCTTCTCCAGCTGGGACATCGCGCTGCTCGTGCTGTGGGGGCCCATCGGCTTCCTGCCCTGCTTCGCGTTCATGTGGCTCCTGGACAAGAGAGGTGAGGGGTCTGGGTGCGCCGGCCCACGCTGTCACTCCTCGGATAACTAGCGCCTGCCCGCGCTCCAGGCCTGCCAGCCGCCTCCCTTGGCTCCAACATAGGGGTTGTGTGAGGTGATAGAGTGTTGTTAGCATTCCATTTCTGACTTATGAACCTTCCGTCCCCAAAGCCACAAATAAGGGAAGGCTACTGCAGATATTTATGTTTTTATCCAAGCCCTTTATGCAACACCAGGGATTTAAGCGATCTCTGAATGTTCAAGTTTTTACACATTGTGAACATCAGAGCATCCGCGTGCACGTGCAGTGTATGTGTTTTACACCTGACAAAAATGACTGATGCTTTGACTTCAAGGGATTTGGGGATATTGAGGGTGAAAGGTCGGAAAATAGATTGCCGATGCCCAGATGTAAGGAAAGAATGAGTTGGTTTTGTATAGTAGATGACTCCAGCCCAGGAAGAGCTATTTGAAAACAAGTCTGACACTTTGGTTTCTGGAAAGTGGTGCTCAGCAGCTTTAAAATGTGTGTATATGACTACATGGCTTTCTCAGTTGGGATTTGTGACTTCAGATAAAGCTTGCAGATGAGCGAAGATGCTGCCTTAGAATGGTACGCTGGACATCTCACTTTACCACTTGCCAATGTGATTCTCTGAGGAGAAAAAAAAAAAAGCCATAGGGCTGAGAATCAAGGTATCCTTACCACAGAAGTATAGATAAATGACTGGTAGTGACAGTGTACCCTCAAGAAGCTGTTGTGCAAGATTTTAGATTAGTTGAATAATGCTTGGGAGCTACTTTGTACAGTTTCTGTTCAACCTTTTATAAGTTTTGTTGCAGTGAGTTCTTAGTCAGATTTGGAAGGTTGTCTCAGTCCACTGGAGCTGCTATAACAAAATACCATAAACTGGGTAGTTTATAAACAACAGGAATTTATTTCTCACAGTCCTGGAGACTGGAAAGTCCAAGATGAAGGCTCAAGCAGAATCGGTGTCTGGTGAGCGCCTGCTTCCTACACAGTGGTCTTTTCACTATAAGATATAGGAAGAAGGGGTTAGAGATCCCTCCGAGTTCTGTTTTATACGGGCAGTAATCCCATTCACATGGGTCCCACCTGCATAACCTAATCACCTTCCAAAGGCTGCACCTCCTTACTCCGTCATTTTGAGGGTTAAGATTTCAGAATACGAATTTGAGGCCGGGTGCAGTGGCTCAAGTAATCCCAACACATTGGGAGGCTGAGGTGGGAGGATCGCTTGAGCTCAGGGGGTTGAAGCTAGAGTGAGCTGTGATGGCAGCACTGCACTCTGCCTGGGGCAACAGGGCAAGAGTCGTCTCAGAAAAATAAATAAAATACGAATTTGACGGGAACACGCCAGACCACAGCAAAAGTCAAGTGTAGTTAGGTATAGAATTGCAATTCTCTGGCATGTAGTTAGCACTCAAAATTAGTTGGTTATTAAGAGAATAGAATAGCAGGGTGATGTTAGCAGCTATGCTTCCTTCTCCCCTCCTTCACTGGAATTCTTTCATTGGAATCCGTATGAAAAGACTAAGGAATAGTTGATTGTAAATTCCTTAATGATCAGCAATGTAAAGTAGCTGCTAAAAAAAGAAAGGGCAGTTTTAGGCATAGAAGCATAGTGTCCAAAACAAGAAGTAAAATAGTTTGACATGCTGTACATTAGTGTTTAGTTCAGAACTTGATTCTGAGATGGCCGTTTGACAAACTGCAGAACTTTAAAGGTTCTGTGACAAGAATGATAAATGGTATAAAAATCATGATTTGTAAGATGAAGGGAACTTGGGTATGTCAAACTTCAAATAGAAATGAGGCAAAATATAGACTGTGAAAATCAAGTAAAAGAGGAATTAGACTTACGTTTAGCTCTAGGAGGAAGAACTAGACTGAGTCAAGTTACAAAGGAATGTAACTCAAAGCAATACAAGGAAGAACCTTCTAACAAAGATATCTAGCCCTAGATGGGTGTGTCTTGACTGCTATAGAACTTCCAGCTAGAGTAAATACTTTTGCAGATGATGTGTACTAGATGCCGAGGAAGGGCTTCTCTTACCAAATGGAGATTTTCTTTGGGTTTTTGTTGTTTGCTTTTATACTAAATAGTGGTTTTATTTGGGTTTCTGCTGGGTGCAGTGGCTCACGTTTGTAATTCCAGCACTTTGGGAGGCTGAGGGGAGTGGGTCGCCTGAGCCCAGGAGTTAGAGACCAGCCTGGGCAACATAAGGAAACCCGGTCTCTACAAATAATACAAAAATTATCCGAGCATGTTGGCATGCACCTGTAGTCTTAGCTACTGGGGAGGCTGAGACCGGAGGATCAATTGAGCCCAGGAAGTAGAGGGTGCAGTGAGCCATGACCGCTCTATTGCACTCCAGCCTGGGTGACAGAATGAGACCCTGTCTCAAAACAAACAAAACCAAAGAAGTATTTTACCTATAATTAATCTTACAATAATATTTTTTTAAAAGAAAAAATATTTTATTTGTTTCCGCCGATGTATTTTTCTTCTGTTCCAGGATCCAGTCTAGGGTCCTCTGGTGCATTTAGTTGTTATTTCTCTTTAGTTTCTTCCAATCTGTGATAATTCCTTGGTCATTCCCTTAACAAGGTTGGCTAAATTCAGGGGAAAATGCTGTTTTGTAGTTTCTTTTGATTTTTATCAGGAGCATTTTTCAATATTATTCCCCAAACTTAGCCAACCTTGGTTTTAATGGTAGAAAAATGTTCATTTGCACCCTTATTATTATTATCGTATTTACTATCCATGGCAGGGTAAATTAGAAACTACTCATTCACTTTATAAAATCAGGTACTTTAGTTCTTCAATAGTTCTTATGACTATGTGGTGAACTCAATTTTATATTTTCCTTTGGTTGAAGCAGTAAAAAATACATTTTAAAATTCTCTTTATTAGGAAGTAGTTTTCATTTTCAGTAGGAGAAAGCAAATACTCTTTCATAAGTTGGCTTTCCTGCTACAGGTGTTGCATCTACACACGTAGAAAGCAAGTTCATTCTTCTGGCATCCTGGGGTACTAAAATATCTTTTTTTTTTTTTTTGGAGACAGAATCTCACATCGTTGCTCAGGCTGGAGTACAGTAGTACAATCTCAGCTCACTGCAGCCTCAACCTCCCTGGGCTCAGGTGATTCTCCCAACTCGGCCTTCTGTGTAGCTGAGACCATAGGCATGCACCACC